TATATTCTTTCAGTGAGCGAGTGAGTGGGAGTGGAACTGTGACTGCTGGTGAGGTGTCGCCTTTAGCCGTTGGCTGCTTTAAATTCCACAAACACCCTCAAGTGTCTGGGTGATTGGCTAAAAGGACCCCGAGCTTTGTTTTTTCCCCATGGAATCCCCGAAACTTCAAAGAGTCTTCTTACATAACCCTCTAGAACTTTCTACTTTTGCCACGGGGACCCCCCCAGAAAGTGAGGAGAGAAAGATGAGCGCCAGATGAGATAAGAGAATAACAAAGCTAAAAGTTGCGGGGGGCTATTTGGGATTCTTTGAATATTTGGGAGTCTTGTGTGAAAAGTTTTGAGAGTTCAGTGGGAAGAACAAAGTCTGGGGTTTTTCATGCAGAACGGCCCGAGAAATAGGGGGTGTTGTGAAATTTACCCTGGGTAAGTTTCATAAAACTCCCTTAATTTGGGGGGATTTATATCAAACTCTTCTGAACTTTGAAAATTAAAGACGGCACACCTAAATTTTTGGGGACTTTTTTATAGAACGTTATCAATTTTTTTGAAAAAACTCGTCTAAATTTGGATGCAAATTTAGTTTTTCGATTTGTCAAGGAGAGATAACTGAGAGAAATGGGAAAGTTAGGGAACTATTTAACGGATAAAGGGTTATTTTTCCATTCTGGTGAATCGGGAGTGCAGAAGGTTGAGGTAGGAAGGAGTAAATACAAGATTCTTTTTCATTTTCAAGGCATAATTCGAATTTTCTGTGATTTGATATTGAATGGAAATAATTTATAATCATCAATCATCAGGTTAAGATCGATCTAAACCAACACATTTTATTATATATGTATGATATGCCGACAATTAAACTACTTATTAGAAACACAAGACAGCCAATAAGAAATATCGTGAAATCGCCCGCACTTCGAGGATGTCCTCAGTGTCGGGGAACGTGTACTAGGGTGTATGCGCGGCTCGTTTAGATCATGAGTTTGAACAGACGAAACAATTTTTCCATTACCATTCACAAGTACCAGTGAATGAATAGGATAGATAGAGCAGAAAGCCCGTAAAATCTTTAATATTTTGTAGATATTACTATTTTTGGGGCTTTTTGAAACTCCCTAAAATGTTTGAGACCTTGTTTAAAAATTTCAAAGCTCATTAGTAGGGGTGGGCAAAAACCGAAAAATACCAGTTCAACCGAAAAAATCGTCCGAAAAAGCGGGCCGGTTAACCGAACCAGATTAAATGGATTGGAAGAAGACTCTAAACCGCCCGAACCGAATTAAACCGGATTGGATCCGGTTTGAACCCCTGAACCGTCCGAAAAAAACCGAACCGAATTTTCTAATATAAATACTGAAAAATCTCTAACCCTAACTATTTCTGGACTATTTTGAATGGTTTGTAACTAAGTAACTCTTTAATGAGTTTATTATTGTGGTATGGTATGTACTTGTTGATATGGTTTGCGCTCATTTCACTAATTTTAGTTTTTTTGTTAGCTGTGACAATGATGTTACTTCAAACAAGCTCCGCATTTCATTGTTTGGAGGAAAAAATTAAGTAGACAAAACGGACAAATAACGATACTTCATTAGAAATTAATAGGCAATGATCTCAGGTGTGGGCAGATTTTTGTGAAATAGAATTAATTCGGCCCAAAACCGAAACCGAACCGAACTGATCTGAATTTCGGTTGGGCCGAATATTCGGATGAAGGGGGGGAAATCTAGATCTGGATGAGAGTTTTGAGAATTCGAAAAATTCGGTTTGGATGCGGATTGGTCTTAAAACCGACCCGAACCAAATATGTCCAACCCTACTCGTTAGTAGTTGGGCTGTCCGAAGGAGAGGGATCGTTTGATTGGCGGGTACAGCAATGAGTGCAGCCGGTTTCTGGTGAGTTTAGTGGTGGAGGAAGAGTAACGGCAGGATTAGATTTAGCCGAAGATTTGGTGGGTTTTTCTCTAAATGGTTGTTTTTAGGAAGTTAATGCGAGGGTTGGATTCATGCGGAGGAAAAGAAAAGGTGAATATTTTTGATGATTACAAGGAATTGATGCGTTGAACCTTACTTTGTTACTTTAGATTTTATTATGTGCATATGTGATTCAGACATTTGATGGTGCGTTTCCCCTTTATGGTTTGGTTTGGTGGTGTGTTTTTTTCACAATTAATTAGTCCATTGTAATCATTTGGCAATGCGTCACGCATCATTTTACACGAAAAAACTGAAGTCCTCCCGTTTCAAGAATAAAAATATTCATGTATACAAGGCGTTCTCTCCCTCTCAAATATATGTATACTGAGAGATACGAATCCCCTTGAACAAGAAGCTCCTAGGGGGAATAGGAGAGGGAATCCTTTATCTCCTTTTACCTTATGGCCTGTTTGGATGGAGGATGGAGGGTAGAGAGGGAGAAGTGAAGGAAAATTTTATTTTAACATTGTTTGGGAGTTTTATTTTGGAGGGTAAAGAAGTGGAATGGAGGGGAAATTTGGCTCAAATTCTTACACCCCAAATTGGGGTGTAATGGAGGGGAAGGGAAGGAAACTCCTTCCTTCCCTTTCCTAAGTAAACTCCCAAACACATCATTAATGTTGTGTTTGTGAGCTCACTAAAAGCCTGTCTGGATAGAGGGTAGGGGAGGGGGGGGGAGAAGAGAAATATCAATTTAACCTTGTTTGGGAGTTTTCTTTAGAGAAGTAGAGAGGGAGAAGGAAGGAAAAATGGAGGAGAAAGGGGGGAATGGTGAAAGTGGAGTAAATTTGTAATTATCATCTTGCCCTACATCAAAATAAATCAAGGGCTGTGATCTAACTCTACTCTTCTATTTCACCCAGCCACCTTCTCTCTGCACTCTTTCTCCCTTCCGAGCTCTCTCTGAGCTCTTTCTCCTTCCCGAGCTCTCTCTTCCCGCCACGCGAGCTCTCTCTGCCCGCTTACAGGCGTTTCACGTCATTCAATTGTTCATTTTTAGAGATCTTTTTTGGTGTTTATGTGGACTTTAGGAATGCCTATTTGGATTTAGTTGAGATTTTTGATTGCCCATTTTAGCTTGCTGTCAAAATTTTGCCTTGAATTGGATTAACTAGATTGGCTGTAGTTCCCTTTGTGGGAATTTAGTTTGATTGTTCCTTTTGTATTATGAGCAATTTTGTATATTGAGTTGAAGGAAATTAATGAGCTTTTGTTTGCATTTCCATGAATTATAAGCTCTGGGTACTACTCATTTGAGCTGTAGTGGATTTTAACATGGTTGTGTAAAGTGAGTGAAGCTAATTCATCATCTCTAGTTGAAGAGAGTATTTTCCATTTGCGAATTAGAAAGGAACTTGTCAAATTTTCCTTTCCCTCATTTACCCCGCAATTTGGGGTGCAAAATTTTAATATAAAATTTCCCCTCATTTCCCTCCTCTACACTCCCAATAAAACCCCCAAACAACATTAACAATTTCTCTTTCCTACATCCGTCCTAATACGTCCGCTTGTGCGTGCAAAACTCTACAATGCCAAGTTCATTCCCACCTCAGAAGTTAGTGAGGCCAATTCCAATCCACACACCACCTAATTTCACTAGTCAATGAACCGCAAAAATATTCAACACAATAGCGATATTCATAACTTAGGGTATGTTTAAATACCATGTTTAATTATATTATATTATATTATTTAATTTAATAAGTGATTATATACCATATATTATATTAATATACTTTATTATTTATTATATTATGTTATGTTATTTTTATGAAATATAATATATCATATGAATACAATATATTAAATTAATATTTATTTAAATATTATATTATATTATATTGCCAATATTGTAATATATTAAATTAAATTTCATGAAACACTAATGTAGCCTTTTGTATTATAATACATCATAGTATAATATGCTATATTAAACATATTTTAACATGTTATATTAGTATAACATAATTTAAATACATTAAACATGATATGATTAATAAACTATATGAATCATAACAATATATATTATATTTACTTGTTCTGCTAACACGCACCAAAACTGAAAACATCATGCTAAACTCAAAACACTTAAAAGGTGATTTAAAAGAAGTGTTGTTTTATGTTTTGGTACATATTTGAGCATAAAAACAAGTATGGTTTTCAAACACATTGGAGAAAGCACCGTGATAATTGACGAAACACCATGATTCCCAAACACTCCCTAATTTTTCATTCCTACCATGTTGAGCCAATGACAACCCAGTTTCCTGTTACTGAATAATTTAATTTCTTTTTAAAGACCAAAAAACTCATGACCCCTAAACTTTAGTTCGCCCCTCTCATTTTATTCCCATTTGATATTTTTGAAATTAGCCTATACTATAAATTGGAATTTTGCTAGTACAATCAATATTACTAAACTATCCAACCCGCGTGCAAGTAAAAAAGTTATTTATAAGGTCCCATCAAAACACTCAATAATATTAAGTACATTTTACATGTCTTCCGAGCCTCATAGAAGCCCATAATAACACATGCCAACTACTAGCAAAAGTAGTATTCGTCCGACCTCCTAGATTATTATTAGACCTTACAAATTACAATATGCAAACAACAAGAACATCCACTTAAAAAAAGGCTACAATATATAATTTTGATGCAAAATTATATAAATGGTGGTAATCAATATATTTTCTCTTGTTGTTCCAATTATCTAAATGGGATGCATTTTCATTAGCAAGAAAAGAAATGCACGCAACAAGATAATAAAAGGCATGCAGAGTCAGGGTCGGTCCTGGGGTAAGCCCACCAAGTCCCGGGGCTGGGGCAACCCAGGGCCGGGGGGTAACCCAGGGCCGGGGGGAAACCCAGGGCCGGGGGGCAACCCAGGGGGAGGTCGTCGTCTTCCTGGTCGCCGTCTTCGTCCTCTTCCTGATCGTCGCTACCGCCTTCT